TTCTAGTCTATGTGGAGTTCAGAGAACATAGATAATAAATGAGTTTACAAGGCATAGACCAAGCTTTGCTTCTGCATCAACAAATAAAATACTATAGTATAAATAATAGAGACATTTCATTTATATAATATATCTATTAGTTATTATTAAATGCCTATTACATATATATATATGTGTGTGACCTGAAAAGCAGATTACAATTAGTGATTAGAGAAGCCGAGAATTAGTCTATCAATGCTAACACCAATAGCAACACCAATGCTAAACCAACAAATAATTATTCAATAATAGCATAATTGCTTTCCAGTGATATAACCTTAGAGAATCAAGCACACACACACATCAACTGTAATATGAAGTCCAGAAATGGGAAAAGCAATGTCAATGTATTTCAATAATGAACTGGTTCAAATCCCAATTTCATAACTGAATTAACTAAAACAGATTAAAGTTTAAAAAGAGACAGGGTGCTGTACCAAAACACATGCTACAAAGTGTCTCAAATTAGTGGCTTAAGTCCTAACACGCAAAATGACAGGCAGAAAATAAATCCCAATTATGAATTTAAAAATTAACTCTTTTGCCATCTGACTCTTAATTAGTCCATCTCGATAATATCTAGTAGCTGTGTTTGGTGATTAAGGAAGTTTTACTCTAGCTTGGGGATACCTCTTATCATGTAAGTGTCCTCTTGTGACTGGTACAGTCCACCTGAACCACATACACTTACATATATTTCTTTTTTTAAGAAGATTTTATTTATTTATTTGACAGAGAGGGAGGAAGGGAGGAAGGGAGGGAGAGAGAGAGCACAAGCAGGGGAAGCGGCAGGCAGAGGGAGAAACAGGCTCCCCACTGAGGGGGGAGCCCTACGTGGGACTCAATCCCAGGACTCTGGGATCATGACCTGAGCCAAAGGCAGATGCTTAACCAACTGAGGCACCCAGGTGCCCTGGCTTACATGTATTTCAATTTAACTCCTTAAAAGGATACAAATGGATTAACTTTGAGAATTCTGGAATAAGAATAATTTAGACACAAATAAGCTATCTTCATTTTTATGATTTATTTATAATTCATTATTCCTTAATCTAGCCAAAAATACTATAATTTTTCCATATTTCATGGTTTTTGAACAGATTTGTTCCACTGATTCTCACATTAAAAGCAATAATCTAAAAGATATTTGGAGGCTGAGGTCTGAAGGACTGGGAGATGTCTTAATTATACATTGTGCCTAACATAAAAGACACACATGCCATTCAGTGTGCAAATATATAATAAAGATGGCCTACTTCTTTCTGCAAACCTCTACTTCAACTACGCTAGTTAGTAACTCAATTAATCTGTTATAAAAGCATCTATTTTAAGAAAAGTTCTGTAAAAGAAACTGGGGAAAAGCAACTCAATTTCAATTGCTTAAATAAACTTCCTAAAAGTTCAAGACTGAACTATCTGATAAGTGTCATATGTCCAGTAGACAGCCATCTTTGATATAATAATCTTAGAGCTTATTGCAACTAGTTATTGAGAGGAGGCCAGTTTTCTCACCTATTTATTTAGGTATGATTACAGTGCTTATCATCAAAAAGCCTGCCTCTAAAAGAAGACATAACTCTGAGACTTAATTGTTAATCTACACAAGTGGCATGTTGGAGGGGGGGCTGTATTAGAGGTTGTGTTTGTTCTCTTCATCAGAGCATTTGTAAGGCTGTCTGCAGAGAAAAGTATAAGATTGACTTTTTATGTACATCATTTTGGTGTGGGATAATGTAGTTAGTCTGCTATATCTACCTGAGTTAAGTCATAAGAATGAAATAGCTGGGTTCTGGGGGTGGAAGTGTTGCCGGGGAGCTCTCTCAGAGCCATTCTCCATTTGCTACAAACTCATGGGTCTTGTGAAGGTGAGCCTGACTGGTTTTCAAAGTTAGATGTTCTGGGGACTCCTCTTTCAGGTTTTAAAAGTTGGGGTGCTCAATGTGGGATTCAAACCCTTCGCTCCTCAGGGATAAGCTCCAGGTTTTGCGTTCCCTCCCCATTGTGGATCACCATGCCAGGGGTGGGGTTTATGGTGAGATTATATCTCAGCTTCTCCTACCCACCTCCATGAGGTTTCATTCTCACTTTCTGAAGTACAGTAGTCGTTCAAGTAGTTTTCAGGTTTTTTCAGAGTTTATTGTTCCATATGTAGCTGTAGGTTCTATGTGCCAGTGAGAGAAAATAAGCTCAGGATCCTCCTGGGTTGCCATTTTGAACTGGAACCAACAGTTGTGTCTCAGAATTCTTTAACTTTTGTATGCAAATGATTTTTCGGATCTAGGATCTAGACTGTGTCCCTTTTATTCATCATTCATTTATTCAAAGAGCAGCAACATTTATATCAGGAATAAAAAAATCTTCTTTACCATGATGCAATGTTATCATGACTTACTGTGTGTCTATAACCCCCAAAATTTGACAGAATTTGATTCTTGTCATTTCTTGCATCTTGAAGGGCTCAGGTAAAAACAAACAAATTGACAAAACTTAGGGAAAAAGGAAGTGAGAAAAAAATGCGTGAACCAAAATGTCCACAAACTAAATATCAAGAATACTTAATACTATAGATTTTGTATATGGAGACTGCAATTACGGTGAGGAAGGAGGTATTGTATATGGGTATATTAATAAATTTTGTTTATTCTGGGCTATGTGGTGCCAACCTTAACAGTTGCTTTTATTAGAGTCATGCCAACAGATGTCAGTGACACAACTAAAATAAAATAAGTCAAAGAGAAAAGGGCATAAAATGGGTACTTTCCATTTGGTTCAGACCCAAGTGTGAGGACAGCACATTGGTCATTATTAACAACATTGATGTCTGAATTGAAATCACTGTCTTTTCCTTTAATCTTTCTCATCTTGCCAGAAGGCACAATCATTTACTTGGACATCAAAACAAGGGAGACATTAATCCTTTCCTTATCCCACAACTAAGTAATCAGCCAACAAAAATCAAGAATTGGAGCTAAATCCATCTCCTCTCCACCCCACTGCTTCAGCCATGGCTCAGGTCCTCACCATCCTCTCCATCTTTCTCCTGGATCTTCAAAATAACCTCTAAACTGGTCTTCCTGTCTGCACTCCTGCTCTAATCCTCATCTTGTGATTATTCTAAATTCTCAGTCTGATTAAAATTTTTATTGGCTCCCCATCTTCTGCAGAGTCAATTTCAAACGTTTTACTTTGGGTTATGGGACTCCTCATGACCCAGTCAGTCCACCAGCCTTAGCATATCCTCTTTCTAGTACAACAGTGGCGAGAAAACATGCAATCATGCACATGCTTTGGACGCCATAAATTCTTTGAGGGCAAAAGCAGAATTTTCACTCCCAGTACTAACTATAGTAGCACCCCCCCCTGTTTATTCAAGATTTTACTTTCTGTGTTTTCAGTTACCTATGGTCAACCTGAAGCAGATGATCCTCCTTCTGACTTGTCAGAAGGTAGTAGTAGCCTAATGTTAGTCACCGTGCTTGTGTCATTCATCTCACGTCATCTCATCATATAGGCGTTTTTCATCTTACATCATTACAAGAAGAATGAGCACAGTACAGTAAGGTATTTTGAAAGAGAGAAACCATATATACATAACTTTTATTACAGCATATTTTTATAATTGCTCTATTTTACTATTATTGTCAATCTCTTACTATGCCTATTCATAAAATAAACTTTATCATAGATACGTATGTATAGAAAAAAACATAGGGTTTGGCACTATTCACAATTCCAGGCATCCACTGGGGTTTTCAGAACATATCCCAAGTGAGAAAAAGGGGACCACTGTATTAGTAATGAATATCGTTTCACATCCTTAGCACACCCCCTTTTGTTGCACATGTTATTTTTTCTGTTCTCTCCTTTTTTATGCCTGGAGAACTTTTAACACTCAAAGTTTAATCATGTCACCTTCTTGATAAAATATCCTGACACAGACCTCCAAAAAGTTAATTACTTTCTATTCTTGCACCAAGTTTTATTTTGGCACATTTCATACTATATATTAATTACTCATTTCCACATCTGTATGCTCTTGTAAAGAGTGAGTTTCCGACAGGCAAGGAGTATATCTTAAAATCTTTATATCTCTTGGCATCTAGAACTGCTCCTGAAATTGTTGGAATGTGGTAGGTACTATTCTAAGAACTTTCTATTATCTCATTGAATGAATAAAGTTTAAAATAAATATTGTTAAATAAAATTAAAAATATAAAGACATAAAAGTATCTCACTTGCAAGATATTAAATATCGAATGTTATTCAAGGATTTGGAAAATAAAGTAAATAAATGCCAACTTTCAAGTTGGAAAATGATAATCTTAATAAGATATTTTGAGTGGGGAGGTAGTACATGAGTAGGCATAGGTAAAAGTCAAGTGGAAATAGTCTTCTTGGGGACTGGAGTCTTATCAAGTACGATTCACAATTTGTGATTTCATTGGGAGGTGTTAATAAAATGCAAAGAACCATGATCAGGGTTTCAAAAGCAATGTTGCTACTTTTAAAAGAAATCATTAAGAAAAATTTTAAGGTCATTAAAAAAGTATTCATATTAATTTTTTAAATTTTTAATCAAGTAGAATTGATGAGATTATTGTATAACTGTTGCTAGAAACTCCCTTATTAAAATATGAAAATTTTATTTATAAACTACCTTTTTAATAAGTAAGTCTTTGTGTTTCACCCTTCAAATTTCAAATTGCCAATATGTCAGACAAAATGCTGTAGGAAGATATTCTCACTTGAATGTCAACATCGGTAGAACTTTAATCAAAATTTATATTGTGATTGGGGTATTGGGAAAGCATATACAAATTAAAACCTTGTGTTCTTTTCAAGATCTAAGTATCCTATTATTAGCAGTATAAACTATTTTCTTAGAGGAACATAACAAGTGGACATAAAGTGGAACCATAATGACTTTCTTATTGTCTTACTATTTGTTTCTATTATCACAGACCAGTTGAATTTTCAGAAGCTGATTACCCACGGGCTGAATATCAAAGAAGACAGCAATTTTGGGATCCTATACGTGTAGCTCTTTTCACATTGGCAATTGTAGCAGTCATAGGAATTGCAATTGGTATTGTTACTCATTTTGTTGTTGAGGGTAAGTATCCAGGTCACATTTCTATTGCCTAAGTGCTCTATGACTTAATATCTTGAAATTCTTTCTTGTATAAAAAATGCTATTTGCATGATATTAAAATTTTAATTACTAATCTGTTATTGATGTTAAATTATTGTTTGCTCCAGGGTTGAGTTCAGTGTTACATATTTCCAGCCAATGAAGCTTGCAATAAACATTATTACATGGATGGACACATCTAAAAGCGATACAGTTTTGGGGTGCCTGGGTGGCTCAGTCAGTTAAGCATCTGCCTTCGGTTCAGGTCATGACCCTAGGATCAAGCTCCCTGTTCAGCTGGGAGTCTGCTTCTCCCTCTCCCTCTGCCCCTACCCCTGCTGGTGCATGCTCTCTCTCTCTTGCCCTCTCTCTCAAATAAATAAAAATCTTTAAAAGCAATATCGTTTTAAAATGAGAAAGAAGAGTGAAAAGCTTGATCTTTAGAATAAAGACAAATCACATCATGTGCTGAGTTTCATATGCCTTTTTTTTTCCAAAAGCAGTATAAGGCAACTGCTTAAGCTATAGGCAATCAAATAATTTCCTTGCTTTGCTTCTGCATCTTCTCTATACATATCTCCCCTCACTCCTGTTGGTGGAGGACTCCTAATCACTTTCGGTTTGGTGTTGCCCAACTGGAATCACTATTTGCTCAAATAAACTCTTGAAAATGTAAATGTGCCCCATTTGATTTATTTTAAAGATTTTATTTATTTGAGAGCCAAAGAGAGGGGGTCAGCATGAGCTGGGGGAGGGGAGGGCAGAGGGAGAGGGACAAGCAAACTCCCCGCTGAGCAGGGAGCCCGATCCCAGGACCCCGGGATCATGACCTGAGCTGAAGGCAGGCGCTTAACCAACCAAGCCAACCAGGCTCCCCAGGAATCATGATCTTTTAACATCAACAAATAGTTGATGGTTGAGGCCATCACTGTTAGGATCACCCAGAAAGGGTTATTTACATGGCCAGGGCAAGGATAGAACAGTGGGTTGCTAAGGAAAGAAGCAGAAATAAAAGAGTTCTCCAAGGTCGATGAAAAGGTGTGGCCAGGGAGGAAGAAAGTTAGAATATGGCTCCACAAAGCCTAAGGTGGGGTTTCAGGGAATATGATTAAACCTGCAAAACAATCAAGATTTAAAAAAAAAAAAAAAGAAAAGAAAAAAGACCCTAAAAAAGGTAGCTATTCGATATTATGACTGTTGGCCTTGACAATGGAAGTTTCAGTGGTATGTCAAGAATGGACTGCAGAGAATTGAGAAGTGAATAGGCAAAAAGTGAAAACAATAAATACTAATACTTATTAGGAGCATGGAAAAAACTGACAGCCTCTTCAATATATCTTCATAATACAGCTTATCTAAGATATACCTATGTTACAATTCTTTGAGGAAACTGATAATTTTTACATGACTTTCAGCAATTGCTTTCAATATTTATTGTCCATATTGCATGTCCAATTGTATGAAAATTTTGATATGCATAAACACTGTAAAAGAGGTATTCCGAAAGTGTACTTGGAGGCCTGGATTTTCTATTTTAGCTGGATACAATGATAAAATTACAAAATATTTGAATAATGTCCACAATAACTTTTGTACCAATAAGAAATAAACTGCACTATAGTAAACCTATTTCCTGGGGTTGGGGGACAAAAAACATTATATTTAAGCATGGATCTTTTGTTTATTTTACCTTTCAGATGATAAGTCATTCTATTACCTTGGCTCTTTTAAAATCACAAATATAAAATACAAAGAAAATTATGGAATGAAAAGCTCAAGAGAGTTTATAGAAAGGAGTCATCAGATTGAGAGAATGGTAAGCTTAATAGAAATTTTAGAAGTTTATGAATGTGTTTTTCTGTTTCACTTTCAGTTTGGTTGCTATAAGAACCTAGCCTCTCCATGCCTCAATCTCTTCTCCTGTAAAATATAGATAATATCTAAGCCATATGGTTGTGACGATTAAAGAACTTAATATATGTAAAATATTTTGAATAATGTTATATACAATTAAATACATATAGATTAGGTAGGCTACTAATTAACAACTAAGAAAACTGTTGGTTGAAACAGACGTTCTTCTGATTTTCAATTCTTGATTTTCTGTGCTGGTTCATTTTCCTTAAACTTTTTTAACATAAGAATATATGATTGCCATGTTTGCCTTATCATTTTATTTATTATGTTTTTAAAAGCATGTAAAGTATCACATACAAATGTGCATCTGTAATTTTTTTTTTTTTTGAGAGGGAGAGAAAGAGAGATTGAGGCAGGGAGGGGCAGAGGGAGAGAGAGAATCTTAAGCAGGCTCCATGCCCAGCACAGAGCCGAGTGAGGACTAGATCTCCCCACCCTGAAATCATGACCTGAGCCAAAATCAAGAGAAAGACGCTTAACTGAATGAGCCACCCAGGTGCTCCCATGTCTAAAATTTTTTATATCAATCTCAAATCTAGTTATGCCTCTCATGGCTTCCCTTAAAAACTGCATTTATCAAGGCATTTCTAATTTTCAAAGTATGTTAGACAAGCTAAGTCTTTACCTATCATAGCAGAAAGTCAAATAGTCTTCCATTTTTTGTCCCATGAAAAGCGTATCTGTGGAGACCATAGATTTGTTTAGCAAAACCCAGTATATTAGCCTAGAATGTTCTCCTTAAAGCTTATGAGAGTTATTCTGGAACAATGAAGTAATAGCTCTATAGAAAGAAGACTGAATTAGTATGATTATTTATGATTCGCTCAATTAAAAGATGACTTTAGCACTTCAACTCTTAACTCATCGTACTTTCCTTTCTCTGGCATATTAACAATGTAGGAAAGTATTTCATTTTATTTAGTTAATATTTATATAGGTTGATTCTAAATATTGAAAACCAATGAAGAGTATTTTCATTTCCATAGCTATTTAAATAGTGTTTGTCATTTAACAAAACAGTGCTTTTTACAATTGGGTTTCCACATAAGAGTATTTCCCAAAGCAATTTTGAGTAGAACTCACTCATTTATTTTAAGTCCTCTACCATTTTACTATATCTTCAGATATGTCCAAAGTCTCACTATTTCTTTATTTCTTTAATTCTTCTTTCTCAAAACTTTATGCTTTCTGCTTCAATTTGAACTGGTTGCTTTCTAGGTCCACTTTAGAGAGGTAACCTGGGTCCAAACAGGATTGCTCTAGTGTGTGAGAGCTATTGCTTCTTGCATCTCATATTTTCCTTGATATGGTGGGTTATGTCCTCAAGCACCTTCCTTAAGAAAAAAAGTGCATGGGAGGTAACATTTCTGAATTATTTTATGTTGAAAAACCCTTTATCCAATAGTCTACTCAAATGACAGTTTGAATGTAAACCTTTACATTGAAAAATCACTTCCCCTCAGACCATCTGAGGCCTTGCTTCATTTTTATTACTCTATCACTGCAGCTGATGAGAAATTGCGTTTCTTTTTAAGTAATCTCTTCTTTTTCTAGAAACTTTTGTACTCTATTTTTTGTTTTCTGAAATTTCATGATGATGTGTCTTGGTATTTGGTATTTTTTCTTTCATTCATTTTTGTTGGGATATCATTATGCTTTAGAAAGTGTGTAAAACATTTTAAAGTGAATATCCAAGAACCTACCACCAAATTTCAGAAATAGAACTTTACCAGTACCTCTGAGACCTCTATATGTTCTTTTTTCTCTCTTCTTCATAGTTAAAAACTGTTTTGAATTTGGATTTAATCATTCTGTGGTTTTATCACTGAGGTATGCATACTCAAATAGCATAGTATGCAATTTTTCCTCTTTTGAAATTTATGTAAATATAATCATATCTTTCTGTGACTTCATTATTTCCCTCAACGTTATGTCTTTGAGATATTCCCATTTTGATGCATGTAGCTATAGCTATATAAAATAGCTATATAAAATAGGATTTTATATATAAAATATAAAGCTATGTAAAATAAAAGCTATATAAAATAAAAATCCTGTAGCTATATAAAATAAATACATCATTTATTTTTCACTGCAGTGTAGACTGTCCTAGAAAGAATATACTACTATTTATTAATTCATTCTAAGGTTGACAAATATTTCAGCTGTTTTCACTTTTATAATTATGAACAATGCAGCTAATTAACATCCTTGCAGGTTAGTGCATGCACTCCTAGTGCATGTGCAAGAGCCTCCTCAGGTCATAAACCAAGCAGATGGTTTGCTGGGTCATAGGTTTTGCTCAGACTCAACTTCAGCAGATTCTGATCAATGGTTTTCCAGGGGGTTTGTAGACATTTGACACCACCACCAACAGGGAGTGAATTCATGTTGCCCTACCTCTTCATCAAAATTTTCAACAAAATTGACTTTTGCCAAACTGGTATGTATGTATGTATGTATGTATGTATGTATGTATAATAGTAACTCTTTGTGAATTTAATTTGCATTTTCCCTATTATTAATAATGTTCATCAGTGGTTATCAACCATTTGCATTTTGTCCTTTATAATCATGATTTTTTGCCCATTTCTTTTTTTTTCTTTTTCTTTTTACTTAACATACAGTGTAACATGCCATTTCCTATTATATTTTTGTCTTTTAATTTATTCTTAGAAACATTTTTTTGGAAAAAGAGAAACATTTTTTGGGAAATGAATCCTTCATTTTGGGAAATGAATCTTTTTCCATTTTGTGGCTTGGCTTTTCATTTTCTTTATAATATATTTAAATGAACAGTGTTCTAAATTTTAATATAGTTAAATACATCATTCTTTTCTATTATTAGTAGTATTCTTTGTGTTTGTATAAGAAATCCTTTCTGATCCTGATATCACTGTCTTAAAAAAAATCATTTTTCCTTTTTGCATTTAAACCTTTTTTATTCTACATGGAATTGATATTTGCATATGTGTTTGACTTAAGGATTTAATTTCTTTCTTCCCCCTATGTGAATAAACATTTCTCTTAGTACCACTGATTGAGCAGTCAGTCTTTTCTTGGATGATCTACCATGCCATCTCTGCCACAAATCAAGTTTCCATGCATGAATTGGGATGTTGCTGTGCTCTCTATTCTGTTCCATTGATCAGCTTGTTTTGCATTGTGTCAATACTACAATGTTTTAACCTCTATAGTTTGACAATAAGTGTTGATACCTGTTATTTTAATTTCCTAGTGTTTCTGTACCAAATTACCATAAACTAGTGGCTTAAAACAATAGAAATTTATTCTCTCAGTTATGGAAGCCAGAAATCTGAAATCAAAGTATCAACAGTGCTGGCTCCCTTGGAAGGCACTAGGGAGGAATCTTTCTTTGCCTCTTTCAGCTTCTGGTAACTTCAGGCATTCCTTGACATGCAGCTACATAGCTGCAATCTCTGTCTCCATCTTGACCTTTTCCTCTGTGTTTCTCCAGTCCAATAAGGGCATTAGATTATTAGATTAGAATCATTAGATTCAAGATGTTCCTGGATAACCCACATTGGTCTTATCTTGAGATCCTTAACATAGAATCTGCAAAGACTCTGCCAAATAAGGTCACATTCACATGTTCCCAGACAGACGTATCTTTTTAGGGGGCCACCATTCAACCCAGTACACCTGAATTTGTCACCATCTTCTCCAGGTATGTCTTGATTATTCTTGACCCTTTTCGTTTCCATATCAAGTAATACACACACACACACACACACACCTTCATACTGGGATTTTTATTTAGCTTGCTTCAAATCTAGAGGTCTAGAGAAATAATTGACATCTTCATTTATTTATACGTATTTACTGTATTTCAATAAAGCTTTAAAATATTTTTGTTAAAGGTCTTGTTCATCTTTGATTAGATTTAATATTAGAGGTTCTTTTTTGTCATTGTTAACTGGTATCTTTTTAAAGAACATTTTCTTACTGGTATATAGAAATATGACTGGTTTTTGTAATCCCTTTTTATGTCCTTTCTTTTTTGTATTTGGTATTTCTAAGTTCTGAGTCTCTCCTAAAGTTTTTAGAGCAGATAGTCTTTCTTCTTGGCTGCTTTTCTGTGACTCATAGTCTGGTCCAGGGATTCTCAGTCAGGGACAGTTTTGTCTCTCAAAGGATATTTGGCAATTCCTGGAGACATTTTTTGGTTGTCACCCTGGAAGGAGGAGTGCTCCTGGCATCTAGTATCTAGTGGCCAGGAGTGCTGCAAAACACCCTACAAGTCACAAGATAGCTCCCTACAACAAAGACTTATCTGGCCCAAAATGTCAATACTGCTGAGGGAGAAAAATCCTGTCCCAGTATGTGACTTCCCTCATCTTACTTTATTAGTTATTTTTCCTTCATTTGTTGAGTTCAGGAAAAGCATTGAATCTGTCACCTACTAAAGAAATCTTTTTGGTTTTTGTCAGTGTTACAGATTTATCTCCATTTTCATACATAATAATTAACATAATTTTAATGGGTTTTCAAAAAAGGAGAGAATATATAGTCAATCTGCCATCCTGGACAAAAATCTCCTTATTTGCATGTAATCAAAGTTTACCATTTCAAAATTAACAACTAGTTTTTAGAATCAAAACTAAATGTCCTTCCATAAGAATACCTCCAAATCCTTGAATGTTATTTTCCTTTCTCTTTACTATATGTCATTCTACTTCAACTTTCCCAAAGGACAATGAATACAATTAAAATTTTATGCAATGTGGATTTGTGCATAATAAGCAAGCAGGGGTTTTCTGGTTAGTTCCAATATCTTTTATGATGACAACAATTTATTGACCTTTTATTTTTTATCATCAGATTAAGCTAATACCTTCTCAGAAATGTGAAAGGTTTTCTTATATTGTTTAACTGCAA